ATCTGACCAATGAGAATTTCGCGTCACGATTTGAGACTAGAAGTCATTTATAAACCTCGTGATTGGGCTTTATCGGTGCCTATAGCCGCTCGCCTTCGGCTCGCGTCTACATGCACCGATAAAGCCCTCTCACTCGGTTTATAAATAGTACATAATATATATATATATAAGTAGAAAATGTTCTCGAGTGTGTACTTCATAATTTCCATACCCAGCGCAAGAAGTGAAAGATATTGTCTGCCGCGACTGGGTCTATATAGCTATTATTATTAATTATATTATATATATTAATATATAATTATAATTAATTATAATATTTTAATTATAATCATAATTATAATATTTATAATAATTATAAGTATTACTATTATTACTAAAATTGAATAAAGTTTTCGTTATAATAATAATTATTATTATTAATCCAACATCCTGTGGGCCGCCAAGAATCCTGACTATCCCGCGTGCAATTACACATTTTTGACTCGTGTTCACAGATTTTTGACTCGTGTTCACGATTTTTGACTCGTGTTCACTCGTGTTCACATTTTTGACTCGTGTTCACTCGTGTTCGTCATTTTTGACCGTGCAGATATTCAAATTCATTAGTCATCGATGCAGGCTCTCAATTCAGCTTGAGAGCCTGTTCGCAGGCTATATATAAAAGAATAAAATATAGCTGTATAACTAAATTTCGCGACATAAATTGAGTTACGTCTACGAGATTTAAATTGAAATATTCCTATAAAGAAAATCATAAATAGACATGCAAAAACTCGGGCCTCGTATGAAATGTGGCGAGTTGCAGCGGCCCAAAATAGAGTCTAAAATTGCATCGAAATAATACATATCCATGTTAAATCGTTTGCCCAAGACCTGTTCTAAAATTTCGACCAGCTGTTTATTTTAAGGCCTGTTCCAAAATTTCGACTGCAATATTGATCTACTGAAACATGTTAAGCCCAATACTCGAAGATATAATGCATTGTTGCGATCTCTTAATTTAAATCAAATAGTTACTAAGGCGCCGAGAACGACAAATACTAGTTCCACGCTTATTGATCATATTATCACTAATTTACCTAAGAACGTCACATACACAGATGTCTTGCCATGCCCTTTGATAAGTGACCACGGCAGACCTTACGTCACTGTCAACGCACATGTCATTCGTTATGTACCAAGATATAAATACCTCAGAAATGAAAAACGCTTTCTTGAATCCGTATTTGTTAAAGATTTTTCCAAACTGCCTTTCCAGCTGGTTTATGCTTTTGACAATCCTGATGATCAACACGCCGGGCACAGATGAATCGGAAAATGACATGTTGTCAAAACTTGTGATCAGCGGAATACACCTATCGGCGATACATAATGTTTACGAGTTACATGAAGTATATCTAATTGTAACAGCTTGAAACTATGGAAACCACATAAAAAATGGCGGCCGAATTT